TTCACTGTCACATTACAGTTTCACTGTCACATTAGCTGTTGCTGGTTTTTAATTTCCAGAGCTAAAATAAAATGATTACGATTCTCAAAAGGTGTAGAAATGAAGGTCCTTTCTTGCTTTGACTGGGCCACTGCCTGCACTGACACAAGTCTACCCCTTGAGGTTTCAGCACTGACAGAAGAGGTGGCAGGGTCAGAGGCAAGGCCTGTTTACCCTCAACTGTACCCATCGAACCTTCTCCAGAGCTTATCCAACAGGCAAAGCTTTGCGAGCCTTGTGTCAGTTCTTTGTGTGGTTGAAGCTACAGCGAAATATCATCGCTGCAGCCCATGTGCTGCAGGTAGGCCCATAATGCCCTTAGCGAGGGAATTCCAGGATTTTAACGCAGTGACACTGCAGGAACAGCAAATTATTTCCAAGTCAGGATGGTGGGTGGCTCAGAGGGGAACTTGCAGGGGGTGGTGTTCCCATGTATCTGCTGCCCTTGTCCTTCTAGGTGGAAGTGGTCGTGGGTTTGGATGGTGCTGTCTGAGGATCTTTGGTGAATTTCTGCAGCGCATCTTGTAGATAGTACACACTGCTGTTACTGAGCGTCGGTGGTGGAGGGAGTGGATGTTTGTTGACGTGGTAGCAGTATTTATTGTGAACAGCCAGGACCCAAGTACTGATCCTGATGGAAGCTGCCATTTCTCCCCATCTATCAATATATGGTCAGTTGCAAAGTAAGGAGTCCTATCATGGAAGTGTCAGTCTCAGCACTAACATGATTGTACAGGGCAATGCTAGCACACATATTTCTCCCCTCCCCACCTTACCACAGATACACTGAAATGAGCATGCCTGAATTCCTTGTTATAATGTCACTCTAATCAGTGAAATCCATCTCAGTAACTCCTGTGGTCTTACGATGCAGCCAGGAATTCACAAGTAGCAAGATGCTAGTGAGAAAGCAGCGAGATCAGAGAAGCTGCCAAGTGGTTCACACGTCAGCTCCTTTCCAACATAATCCCTAATTAAATAGAGGGCCATTCACCAATGTAAAAAAAGGGGATACTCGCAGCCAACGTCTTTATAGAAAGCTCCAGGGAGGCACAAAAAGGCCGTCTCTGTTGATTGAAGTTGTCGGTTGATGCATATGCCAGGTACCACTAGAGTCTGTAAAATCCCTAGATCAGCAGGGAATGTGCTTGTGTTGGTGATTGTGACATATGATGTGGGAGCAGAAGTAGGCCATTCAACCCATCGAGTCTGCTCCACCATTCAATAGGACCATGGCTGATCAGATCATCATCTCCTCCACTTTCCTGCCATTTTCCCCATAACCCATGAATCCCCCCTTACCAATTACATATCAGTCCGTCTCAGCCTTGAATGTACTCAGTGACCCAGCCTCGACAGCCCTCTGTGCTAAAGAATCCCACAGATTACTCCCCACTGAGAGAAGAAATACCTTCTCATCTCTGCCTTAAATGTGCGACTTCTTTGCTGCCCTCAGGTCCGAGACTCTCCCACAAGGGGAAACAACCTCTCTATATATGCCCTGCCAAGCCCCTGAAGAATTTTGTGTTTCAATAAAGTTGCCCCCTCATTGGTTGCTGAACTAGTAGCCTCACCCCCAGGAATAATGACTCAAGAATGTAGCTAATTCCAGCAAATCCCAACATGACAGTAGGAGAATTTCAACTCAGTTGTGTTGAATACATCTGCAATAAAAAGATAGTCTCAATCCCATGTAACTGTTGGATTGTCATAAAACCCTACCTGGTTGACTGATTCCCTTCAGGGAAGGAAATCTGCCGTTCGCACTAAGTCTGACCTCCGTGTGACTCCAGAAACATCACATTGTGGCTGATGTGTTACCAGCACAAGCCAGACACTGGTATTGGAATAGACAGCTTACCCAGACCAGCACAAGGACAGTGAGGAGGGCACTGCCCTAACAGCCATACCTATATCCTGTGATGCCCAGAGATAAAGCAATGCCAACAACTTTGGTGGATCTGCGTTAAGTAAGAACAGAACCTTGCACCTCCAGGTGAAGCCAAAGGAATGCGCAGGGACAGACTCCCACGAACAGATTCTATTTTAATTCATTCATGGGATGGGAGCATCACCGGGCCCAGCATTTATTGTCCATCCCTAATTGCCCAGAGGGCAGTTAAGAGTCACCCACATTGCTATGGGTCTGGAGTCACATGGAGGCCAGACAAGTCCAGGGCAGTTTCCTTCCCTAAAGGACATTAGCAAACTGGATGGAGTTTTACAACAATTGCTAATGGTTTCATTACACTCTTAATTTCTGATTTTTTTTATTATTATTGAATTTAAATACCACCATCTGCCATGGCAGGATTCAAAGCCAGGCCCCCACATACGGGCAGACAGCAGTACAACAACAACATGCATTTCACATCAAGGAATGTGGTTCCTTACTCATTCCCATCATCATCGAGCTGGTATTCTGGACCCTGGGCTAATGTTCTAGCGAGGTGGATTTGAATCACTTCACAGCAGATGGTAAAATTTTAATTGAGCAAAAAGCTTGTCTAATGGTGACTACTGATTATTGTTAAAACCTCTCTGATAGATTCACCTCCTTTACAGAAGGAAATCTGCCATCCTCATCTACCTGGCTTTGCTCAGTCCAGACCCACAGCAATGTGGCTGATTACAGATGGGCATCAAATAAACGATACTAGGACCAAAAGTTGCGTTACAGAGGTAGATGCAAAGGAGGAAAAAGCACTTAGAGAAGGAGAGGTTGGGGAGGCATTTCTTCACTTTAGGGCCCAGGGAGCTAAAGGCACAGACTGCACATGGTGGAGCAATGGGAATCAGGAATGTTCAATAGGCCTGGATTGGAGGAGTGCGGAGATCTCAGAGTCTCAGAGGGCAGGAGCAGGCTGGGGAGATGAAGCTGTGGCGGGGGGATGGTGTGCTTGAAAGCAATTATGAGAATTTTAAATGATACACACAGACACACACGCATGCACAGATATGTGCACACACACTGACGCACATACACAGACATACAGACACACACACACACACACACACACACACACACACACACACACACACAGATTTACAATACCTCTGTTACTCGTGTAGAAATTTGAATATTCCTGGCTGACATTCCCAATAGACAGCATATCTTTTAAAGGAGCCCTTTTACTCCACAGAGTGTGCACCAGACAAAAGTCCATTTCACTGACAAGACTGTAATAGATCAAGAGCAAATATGCTGAATCTTTCAACCTCATTGCTTGCTCACTTTATTAAGCTGCGTTAGCCCTTATTGCAGTTGCAGGTCACACAGTAAATTTGTTCAGTCATTCTCAGCTGTCAGATTCTCACTTAATGTCTGCTGCAAGTGTTTTGAAATGGCATCACCATTCCTAGTGAGTTGTGGGCACTGTCCATGACAACATGCGACCCACCCAGAGGACAGGCACAAGGTGGAGAAAGGAGAAATGTGGTTTCCTCTGGCACGGTTTCTGGTTAGTGTGAAGCTGTAAGAGAGTCAGAATGTAACTGCACACTGAGGTAGGAGAGGCATTAAATTACAGAGCAATGCAAAGCTGGTCAAAGGAACGGCCATGATGAAACTGTCATTGAGTGTTGTTAAAACCCATCTGGTACATGACGCCCTTTAGGGAAGGAGATCTGCCGACTGTACCCGGTCTGGCCTACATGTGACTCCAGACCCACAGCAATGTGATTCACCGTTAACTGCCCTCTGAAATGGCCAATCTGTTCAGGGGCAATTAGGGCTTGGTATCAAATGCTGGATGTACCAGCAACACCCACTTGCTGTGTGAAACAGCCGACTCAGCCCCTCACTCAAAATGGGGATTTAATACTGACCTTACCTACAATGCTCATGTTCCAGGAATAATTTAGTTTTATATCTGAGGGTTTGAGCGCGCTCTCCGGTGAATCTGAAATGAGTG